GTGAACAAAACCAAAAGATACTTGATACTCCTCCCTTGAGGCAGCACTTCCCCCCAACCCAGAGATGGCAATCCATCCTTTTCCGACTGAGGACCATGACCTCAGATTTGGAGGTGCTAATCTTCATCCCAGCCGCTTCTCACTCAGCTGCAAACTGCTCCGATGAGAGCTGACAATAACGGTACAATGACGCCAACAGAACCACATAATTTGAAAATGGGAGAGATCAAATCCTAAGACCACCGAACCAGATTCCGTCCACCACCTGGCTGCACCGAGAAATTCTGTCCACAAAAGTTATGAACAGAATCTGTGACAATGGGCAGCCTTGGCAGAGTCCAGCTCCCACGTCTAACTTACTGTCAGTAATATGAACCGTACTCTTGCACGGCTTGTATAGGGACTGAATGGCTCATAGTAACAGGCCTCCAATCCCATATTCACGGAGCACCCCCACAGTACATCACCGAACATGGCTGAATGCCTTCAAGTCCACAAAACACATGTAGAGTGGATGGGCAAACTCTCATGACCCCTCGAGGACACTAGTGAGGGTAAAGACCTGGTCCAGTGTTTCATGGCCAGGATGGAACCTGCATTGTTTCTCCTGAATCTGAAGTTTGACCACTGATCTGACTCTTCTCCAATACTCCTGAACATACCTTACCAGTGGGGTGAAGGAGAGTGATGCCTCTATAATTGAAACACTCCTTCCGGCCCCACTTTTTAAAGAGTGGAATCACCTCCCTAGTCTGTCAATCCAGTGCTCTTGCCCCTGATGTCCACGCAAAGTTGTGTCCACTAAGACAGCCATGCAACATCCAAAGCCTTGAGGAATTAAGGTCAGATCTCATCCATCCCCAGAACCCTACCGCCACAGAGCTTTTTATCTACCTCAGTGACCTCAGTTCAGATTATAGAAGGACCAATCCCCAAGTCCCTTGGCTCATCTTCCTCCATGGAAGATGCGCTGCTGGAATTGAGAAGGTCTGAGAAGAATTCCTTTTGCAGCTCAACAACATCACTGGTTAAGGTCAACAGCATCACCTCCACTGGACCATGTTGGTAAAATGCTGGTTTTTCCACCTCATTCACCTGATGGTTTGCCAGAATCTTCTCAGAACTGATCTTGATCTTTGTCTAAGGCCTCACTGAACTGCTTCCACATCCAAGCATTTGCCTCAGCAAAAGTTCCTTCGTTCTGCACCTCCATTGTCAAAGGAACTATAATCTGACATATAGGATATACTGTAAATACTTGTTTGTTGAGTTTTACTTTAACAAAGCCCTGGTGATTTTTTTTTCAGAGAAAAAGTATTTTAATTTAAACATTTTATTTTGTACATTTTTTAAATTTATTTAAGCAGAAACTAATTAATACAAGCCCCCACCCTACACTGAACCCCAGAGACTAAACTGCAGCAGGATCTGATTGGAAAAATTGAAAGACAGTTTTGTCAGAACATTTTAAAATATGTTTTGTGCTCAAGGCAGGACAGTGGAACAGTGTTTGAGCTGTTGCCTCACAGCAAGGTCACAGATTCAAAACCCACCTCAAGCCTTTCTGCGTAGAGATTACATGTTGTATTAAATATGTGTTGTTTTTACTTCTGTTCCTCCCCACACATCATGCATTTTAGGTTAACTTGTTACTCTAAAGTGTCCCTTTATGTGAATAATCGTTTGCCTGTTTGTCTCTGTGTGGTCCTGTGATGCACTTGAAACCTGTCAAGGGAGTACCCTGCTCCTCACACAGTGAATGCTGGAGACAGGCACCAGCACTGCAACCCTGCACAGAAAAGTGAGTAAAGAATACTTTGTATAAATTGATATTTTGTATTCAGTTAATTATAGTTATTTAAGAAAAAATTATCAGAAAACTCCTGTCTTTGCATGTCTGAGTTGTATAAATATTGAAAATCAGTATAGTCAGTATAGGCACACAAATTCGGAATTGGTGCATCTCTATTGGAAACATTTGAGTTTGATGTCAAAAGATGCTCATAGCCTGTCCAACCATTTGGAATGAACTAAAGAAAAAAATTAATTGTGTACTCAGTAACAGATGTCCAACAGGAAGACCAAAGTAAATGTCAGCTGTTGATGATAGAAACACTGAGATCTTTGAAGAAAAACACTAAATCAACTGTTATTGACATTGGCAACAATCTCCACACAACAGAAGTGACAGACTAATAGAAATAAAATTAGTTCATGGAAAATTTCATCAATAAAAGTACAAAGACTACAGCAGGAGATGCAAACCACTAAATAACTAGAAAATTAGGAAGGATGGGCTGGGATTTGCTTATAAAGCACAAAGATGACCGTAACAAATTCTGGGACAAAGTTTTAAGTTTTTCACGACTTCTCCACCCCCACCATAACCCTCAGCACGGGCTCCCCCCAGGGCTGTGTGTTGAGCCCACTCCTGTTCATTCTGCTAACGTATGACTGCGTACCGACCCATCTAGGCTGTCGTATTGTAAAGTTTGCAGATGGTACAGCGGTAGTTGGGTCAAAAACAATGATAAGTCCAGATACAGGCAGGAGGTGGAACACCTGGAGATCTGGTGCAGGTAGAACAACCTTCACATCACTGTGACTAAGACGAAGGAGATGGTCGTGGACTTCAGAAGGAATAAACCCCCCCCCCCCAACATAGGAGGATCTGTGGCGGAAGTGGTCTCCAGCTACAAGTACATGGGTGTGCACCTGAATGATAACCTCAGCTGGAGAAACAACACCACCAGCCTGATCAAGAAAGCTCATCAGAGACTCAAGAAAGCTCATCAGAGACTCTACTTCCTCAGGCAGCTGAGGCGAGCTGGTCTGAGAAGCTCAGTCCTCACCTCCTTTTACAGGTGTGCAGTGGAGAGCATCTTGTGCTCCAGCATCAACGTGTGATATGGAGGCTGCACAGCTGCAGAAAGAAAAGCTCTCGGAGAGTGGTGAAAGCTGCACAGAAGTCTGTTGGTCTCAGCCTCCCCACCATCACAGACATCTACACCTCCAGATGCAGGAAGAGGGCCAACTGCATCATGAAGGACCCCACACACCCAGCACATACACTTTTTGCCCCGCTCCCCTCAGGCAGAAGGCTGAGGAGCATTAAGTGCAGAACCACCAGGCTGAGGAACAGCTTCTACCCTGAGGCTGCTAGACTCATGAATCTCTGACCAGGAAAAATCACTCTGAAAATGATTGTGGAAAAAAAAAAACCCTGTGAACATCGTTGTAATGCCACTTGGTTGTTGATATGTGCTGCTGACTATCCATGATGCTGATCTCATGCTGCTGATTACTTCATGTTTCTGTGTTCGTTAATCCTCATCTGCTCATACAGTACAGACTCATGTTCGTACTGCTGTTGTTTTGGCACATTGTTTTTGTACCTTTAGATCTTAGTGTATTCTTAGTTTAGTGAATATAGTATATTCTTAGTTCATGACTCGGATCTTCCTAATGTTTTTCTTTACAATTTGTATTTTTGTTGGATGTAACTGGGACCCTGTGTATATAGTTTTGTTCCACCTCATGTACCACATATGATGTGAATGACAATAAAAATCCTTGTATCCTTAAGCACTGACGAGACAAAGATAAACTTTTATCAAAGTGCTGGAAATGCCAAGAACACCCTACAGTCTACAGAAACTTTTCTTTCTAAGAATTTGAAGAAAAATGCAAGCAAAACGATTAGGTGATGTGTTATCATGCAGCAAAACAGTGGTCCAAAACGCACTGGAGTTCATCAAGTCAATAAATAAAAGCCTGTAGTCTGGCCAAGTCTATCTCCAGACTTAAACTCAAAGGATATGCTGGTGAAGATTCTCAGTCATCCAGGACATGATGAATTCAAAAAGCGTTCAATACAAAAACAACTGGACTTTATTTGTAACAGAAGACGTTTCGCTCCTCATCCAAGGAGCTTTCTCAATTCAAAGAGCAGTGAGTAAGGGATTCAGGTTATAAGGCTGAGTGAGATAAGACACACACACATATGTAGATTGGCAGTTCACACCTAAACACCTTAACAGTAGGTCTTTGTTCATCTAATTCACAGATGAGGCCCCTCTGTTCCCATCAAGTGTGAAAACCGGCTGGGAATCTGTTTTAAAGTTGCATTATATGTTTTTGAAAGTGGAAATCTGAGGCCTCCTCCTCTGTTAAGAGATGGCTTTTCTCTTTTTACATAAATTGCTTCCTTCACCCCCCTCTCAAACCATCTGTGTTCTCGGTCCAAAATGTGCACATTTTGGTCCTCAAAAGAGTGTCCCTTATCTGTGAGATGGAGGTGAACTGCTGAATTTTGTCCAGAGGAGGTGGCTCTCCTGTGTTGAGCCATGCGTCTGTGAAGAGGCTGTTCAGTTTCTCCAATGTAGAGGTCTGGATGAAAGGATGAACAACCCCCACCCCTTTTTTTTGTGATGCCTCTGGGTCAGAGGCTTGAAGTGGTTGTTGTGAGCAAAGGATTTGCAACTATTCACTTTAATTTATTAAAGTCCGTCTGTTCCAGTATTTTTAACTTGCATAGAAATCTGGTGTTCTGTTACAAATAATGCTGTCTTCTAAGTTCTGTATCAGACCTAAATGTGAACATCTGGAAATAAAAGCTGAAAAGTTTTTCTCTTGTTTCATGTTTATCTTAGATGTCAAACCCAAATGTTTCCAGTCTATAGGAAAAGGAAAGGAATTGGCCATACTCTCCCATTAATTTTAGAGGGGAGTATATGTAAACTTAAAAGCTCTGAACCGTGCATTTTTGTAGAAATGAAAACGTGAATTATATTGCATAAAATATAGACAATTAAACTGTTGTAAAATGTTGATGTGTTATTTTGAAACAAGATGACTTTAGGAAAATACTTTTTATTTTTGAGTCTGTGTTGTTGGTTATTACAATCTTCAGTATGAATTTGATAATTATTTGATAAGATTTAGGTCTGAGTCAGAGCTGTGGTGTTTGGCTAAATAAAAATAATAGACAAAATACACCATTTCAAATTATGTAAATGCTTATTTATTGAAGGAATACAATGGAAAAAAATTCAACAGTTGATCCATATTTTATGAACTCTGTTGAACAGCTTCATTTAGGTGTGGTCACTTATTCAGCAGAGTCACTCTGAAAAACAGGACAAGAAAAACAACATTTAGAGGCATGAAATGGTTTGAGATAGTAACTTTGTATAAATTGCTATGCACTGCAACACCTTTTGATTCCATTATAGAAATCGGCAGAACTAAAGCTTGTCCAAACTGCATTGAGGCGCCCATATTAAAATGATGTGCAAGATATTTGGACAGAAAATGTTACCTTTCCAGTGTCACGGCTCTTGGCTCTGAGCTTGTTGACCTGGGACTCAGCGATGTCAGCACGCTCCTGAGCCTCCTCCATCTCATGCTGGACCTTCCTGAGCCTGGACATGTGGGTGTTGGCCTGCTCCTCCTGTGAGGTTTCCAGATGGAAAATTGTTGTGTTTATAGTGCACACGATTTTGTAATGGTCTTATTTGTGTTGCTCTGTCAAATACATTATACTGTTTCACTTACAGCCTCCTCAGCTTGTCTCTTGTAAGCCTTCACTTTAAGCTGCAGCTTGTCCACCAGATCCTGAAGTCTGACCAAATTCTTCTTGTCCTCCTCAGTCTGCAAGGAGTTAAAACAAAAATAATGAGGCAAAAAAACAAAGAGAGGAAAAGGTGGAAAAAAACATTTATGTGTATTAAAAATATTTTTACTGAAAAACAAATTACCTGGTAGGTC